TTCCCATTCCATCTGACCCCACCCCACCCAGCAGCTACTGGAAATTCCCTGAAGGAAAACTGCTAAAACTTGTGAACAATGCGGCTGGTGCAACTCCTCTTTTATACCTCAAAATGGAGCTCTAGTACGACCAGCGAATTCATTTCCGAGTATTACTGGAAAGGAGTTTGTCAGGACCTTTGGTACAAAGAAAATTACCCTGACAACCATCTTCCCTCTCAATGAAAGTATTATCCAACTCCCCCACATACTTGCCTCCCTCCACACCACATTCCGACTTCTCCTGCCCTGTCTTTTTCCTTCGCACCTATTTCTAGAGTTCTTCCGCAGCCTTGACCTTTCTCTTCTCACTTTTCTCCATCTCGTTCCCTCCTTTTTCTTAACTCCAATCAGCCTTTTCTCCTGCAAGTAAAAGCAAAGTACTGCAGCCGTTGGTGATCTGAAATAAAATTAAACAATGCTGGAGATACTCAGCATCTGCAGAGAGAGAGGATGAAGAATCATACCGGACTCATTGTTAACTTTGTTTCTCTCCATAGGTGCTGTCAAACTTGCTAAGTTACGCTAGCACTTTCTTGCCTTCACTGCCTACCTTGGTAAAAATATCATCTTCTTCCCCTGCTTAACCTGAAAAGTCTTGAATTTCTATGTAAACTGAGGAGCTCATTCTGTTTTCTGAAGGGGATAATTGTATGTTGAATGATTCAAACCCAACACTCAATTTTCTGAAAAATTATGAACCACAATATCTAAGCAAGTGTGTCGCAATCTGACCTCATTTTGTTTAATTTTGATTGCTTATAGTGCACTGTAAAAATGTACAAATATTCATCTTCTGTACAGATCAAAGGCACAGTTTACAATCATCAATATTTCTTCAGTCTGCAGATATTCTGACATTGATATTGAGATCTGACATGTAGCAATACTGAACAAAAAATGAGATTTACACGATCTGGTAAGATTTCATAATTCTATTCCATTATAAATGAATTTAGACTCATTCTTCTGAGAATCACTTAAAAGCTTCCTTACTGTTTTGATCAATAATGAGTACAGCACAAAAGCTATTTTGTCTTCTGAAAGCCAATATCATTAATGCTCCACCAAGTCTATTGATTGAAGAACTCTTGTCCATTAATTGCAACAAACTTTACAATATAACTGTAATAAATGGTTAATTCAATGCTCTGAGACTGTGAATTCAATAATAACAAAAATAACTGTTGACAAAGGAATCTTTTCCTTCTAAGTAGCAAAACATGAATACTCAAAAGAAAATGGAGGTGAAACTTTCTAAAAATCAAAGAGCATTTTAGACTAATACCCTTACAAAATTATAAAAATACTGGACTACAAACCTAACAGACATGGTAGTTTAATCCCTTTTGGGTATAAAATGTCAAGTACATTGATCTCATACATCTCCTGTGGTTCAGAACATTAGCTGACATGCAGTGAAAGGGTAATAGATAAAGTAAATTCAGCATGAGCTGCCCAGGAAAGTGGTGAAAATGTTGCTGAGATTTCACAAAAATGATGGCAAATACTTGCAGAGTAAGTGAGTTTTATGACACCACAGAAATTAGATGAAGGTGAAAATATGTGATGGGAGGTTAGAGGCTCAGTCTAATCTATTCTCAAATGTGAAAACATTGAGATATGTAGCACACAAAAAAAAACTGAAATGGAAAGATGAGAGATTCCAGCTGCTGTCTGAAAGAAACAATTTGGGTCAAATACAGCTCTGCAGCTCAATGACCAGCAATCCATTTCCCCAGTGATGTTTCTTTCATGTGTGTCACCAACTTACAAAACAGTTGTGGAGATACATTTGGAGACAGTTACTATACATTAGTTTTGATCTCAGCTTTGTATGGTTTAGGTTTTGACCTCTAACTACCTCAGAATTGACTGAGCTATAAGGACTGAACTGGCATGGAAAATTTGATTGTCAATGGTGTCAGGTTAAAGGAAGCACAAAGATGATTCAACTGATTTCTTTAAAAAACAAGTTATTTATGAGAAGAATTATTCATTGCAGAATAATAAGAGGATCACTTAAACAAATAATTCAAAGTGTTGCAAATATCTAGTTTATACATCATATGTTTTAGAATATAATTTTTGGTTAAACTTTTAACTGCAGATAAATGGGGCAACTGACTGAGAAACTGATTAGCATCCCTGAAGTAAATATAATTCAAATAAACTTGACACTTTATTACACTTAAAAACTGTGCTTACCTTACAAGGTCAGAGATGACAGAAGAAACAAACGAAATAATGTATGACTCAATTCTGGTCTTCCTGGCAGAGCCAAGATATCTCCATAAAACAAGGTAATAGCTGGACACTTTGAGAAATGGGGTGATAAAACTCCATTATAATATAAATTATTTATATTGGTTGCAGAATCAACTAATCATATTGAAGGTAAAGAATTTTTGTATTTCTACTTGAATCGACCTAAAGCATGTCATGTTGCCATAACTGAATCAGCGTGGAATTATTTTCTGATAAATCTGTTCTGACATGTTCTGTCACATCTTTGGAGTAGATAGGACTTGAACCTTGTGTCCCTGGCCCAGAGATTGGGACACTAAAACTGTGTCCTAAGAGCCCAAACAATGTTGTTAATCAACTGGTTCACCTACGTTACAGCACATCTCTGACATAAGTGTGACATGAACCAGACCTCCTGGCTCACAGATAGGGACACTACCACTGCAGCATGTTGCCACTCAATTCAGGGTGGACTCTTGTTTAGAAGGTTACTTTGATTAATACTTTGATTAGTGTCTGCTGACAGAAGTAGGCAGTTCAGTTTGGGGAACATACATGAGCAGATACAACATTTTCATGGCAAAGACTTCAAATCACCAGATTAAAAATGGCTATAGAAGTTGTTAGCCAGTTAAGTTTGCATTTCAAACTGAGAAAATACTAAAATCATTGCCCATCACTTGGATGGTAGGTAGGGCTCAATCAATTGGATTTTGTGAGGGAAAAGCAACTGGATGATTTGCTCCAACTTGCACTTCGTGGAAGAAACCTACAATAATCCTCGTGTAGTCTAATGCTTTTCAATTTGTAAAGTTAGATTAGAAGCAGCTATATAGATACTTTAGGAATAGACTGGGAGAACATAAAATTTGCATGGACATCCAAAGCCAGGATTAGGACCGTAGACAACACAGAAAATACTGGAGAAACTCAGCATATTTCAGCAAGTCTGGCAGCATTGGTGCAGAGAGAAGCAGAGAAAACATTTCAAGTCTGAGTTGACTTGTCTTTAGAATGGGTTTGATGAAATCATACTGGACTTGAAAGATTAACTCTTTCTTTCTCCATAGATGCTGTCAGACTTGTTGAGTTTCTCCAGCATTTTGTGTCTTTGTTGCAGATTTCCAGTAACTGCATTATTTTGCTTTTATTACAAGGAATGAAAGACCACAGTTGCAACTTGAGGTCTTTAAAGAAAACTGGAGGATTTGTTGGTCAAAAGCTAATGGAGGATTCCCATTAATTTAGTGCCTTGAGGAATAGCTGGATTTCTAAGGAGAATTCAAGAAATTTGCAGAGGG